GGGTGGGGGGGATGTGGGGATAGTGGGTAGGTTGGGCATGGCCGAACAACCTGAGGCATAGTTTCACTCCCATTTGCATGTTTGTCTTTGTTCTGTGTCCGGCTTGGGTCTAAGCCCAAGTTCCATTCCATGCTAGCTAGTGGAGTGCCCATGTCCTTGCGTTAGGCCATCGGTATGCCGAAATAGCACTAGACTCCGTTTGGCTTCATTTTGTGTGCTGATCCTGGCATTGGGATGCTGGTTGCTCCAAGACTGTTCCAAGTCGCTCCAAGCTCCTGTCCTTTTGCTCCTTGGGCTGTATGCTCAAGAGTTGCTCCGTGGTCCGGTTCTGTCACTCCTTGGCTCCATGCTTGGGAGTTTGGCACCATTCCTTCGTTCAGTGGCACAAGGCCCTGAACCTCAGGTTCCACACCACTGTCCTTTGGACACATGGCATGTGTCATGTGGCATAAAGAAGGTTTAGATTCCGCTTTGTAGTGTTATCCTATGGTAAATCACCATAAGATAAAGGGTCAAAACCACGTGTGCTACACTAACCCTTAGCAGAATCACCCACCTACCTCAGAGGAATCACCCCACCCGAGGCTTTAGGACCTAGTGCCTCTCAACCACGAGTAGCCAGAGCTAACTCCCCACCGAGCGAGTTCGAAGTGGGAACCTTCCTCGACAAAGTCCATATCAGGCCTTCAGCCTCAGCGTGTTTGATTGCCCAAATGTTTCCCTGATTGATGGCCAGAGCCATCTTCAGGCATCCAAGTGTTCCCACACAGTTCACCCAGATTCACAATGTGGCCTTGCCACCAGCCACACCGACTCCTTGGTTGCTTGTCAGGCACCCAAGTATTTCCTTGCCAGAGCCGCTCTTGTGGATTGCCTGGCTTCTTGTCTTTTGCTTATATTCCGGCCAAAGTCATCTCCACTAACTTGCCTAGCCTTGTGTCTATTGCTCCTATGGGTGAGGAGAGTATGAGCAGGAATCCTGGGCATCACCCTTAGTTAACTCCCATTTCCCACTCTCCATTCCCTTAGTTTCTCAAGGAGGAGAATTCCCCCTCTGATTTTCAGAGGAATTGGTCTTCCTCCTCCTTTTTGAAAGAGAGGTTACCCCCTATATACCATTTGTAACTCCTATACCCCCCCCATCTGATATGGGCTCCCACTTTTTTTTTCTGGGAGTGAGTGGTAGGATGCTCCTGACACATCAGTAGGAGCTATCCTTATAATTTGAGGGCAGGATCCTCCTGCCCTCTCTAGTACTACCGGGGTGGTATCTTCCATGCTAATTCTTCCTAGCTAGCTGAACGGGTCTGACATGGTAGGACTCTTGCCACGTCATCATGTTACAATTAAATAGATGTCTTCAGAGAAGTTGTGCACGGCTATTGCTGTCACCCATATCCAGCTGAACATTCGAGGCATATATCCGTAACAGGTGCCCAAGGGCACCCCTTAACTTACGTGTTTTCACATAACACAGTTTACGAGGAGAAATGACAGTTTATGGAAAATGGAGGGAAATTGGGAGGGAAATGTGGTTATGGCTTTTGTGTTTAGTTAGGCCTTGTATACAGGTATTTGATTTCTTGATTCAAATATGTCTTCACCCATTAACATTGTACTTACTTTCAGATTCATGCTTGAATGTTTTGCAAGCCGAGTTCAACAAGTAACATCATAAGGCACAAGTCATCGTGGAACAAATGTTTGGGTTGCTGAAGCAGAAGTTCAAGTGTTTGGATCAAAAGCAGAGGATGCATTTAGATGACTTGCCAAATGTTTGAAAGAGCTATTGTATCTTGCACAATCTGCTCATCGATGTCAAGGATGCAGATCTGGAAGCTGAACTATGGGAGCTAGAGCAAGAGATTGCACGACGAAAAGCAGAGCGTACGCATGTTGACTACAGTGGTCCAGAACAAACTCTTGAGGAGAACTTTGACTCTACAGTGGGTGGAAGTGTAGTGCGGACTGCTCTTACTGAGCTGGTTTAAATCATAATTAGACGCGTGTATTTGTTTTAGATTAATTTTTAAATTTAAAAAATTTGACATTTAATTACGTGGTTGGTACGTCCCATACTTCACATACATAAAACTTATGTTGTTTTAGTGCGTCCTCCATGCTACATACATAAAAAGACCATATAGTTTTTATGTATGTTATGTGGCCGGTACCACATACATAATTCTTAATTATGTGGTTGGTGCGTTGGTTCCTCCACATACATAAGTTATGTGTTACTTTTACCTTATGTATGTTATGTGGGCAGTGTGTCCCCCCCCTAACCATCTTGCTCTTTAAACTCTGTTTGTCGATAGCAAACATTGAACTTTTTGTGTCTGACGGGGAGAGATTCCATTTTCTGATTCACTTTCCACCTTAGGTCTTTGAGCTTTGGTGTCTCGTCCCTTGCATGTCTGTTTCGGTTTTGAGCTTCCAGGTTTTGATTCATCAGAGTCCTGCTTTCCAGCTTTGTTCGACTTCTTCCCGAGCTCAACGAGGGAATCTCGAGGCCACACGGCCGAGTTTGCATTCTACCTCTCTGGTTCCTTGGAGACTGAAAATCAACAGACACAGACTCTGCTTCTGCTTGCTTTTCTTTACCATATCGTTCTTTAATCCAGATTTCATCTTGACCACTGTTGATTTCAATTCCTGTGACCTTGGTCAAGCCAGATGTTTTGGTAAGTTCCTCATCCGTCTGTGGAGGAGGAACTATTGCCTGTAGGAACTATTCCCTAAGGCAACTGTGTTGCATACTGCAGCCTGATGAACACATCGGGAGGTCGCAAGGAGGATTCTTGAGTTGCAGATCTTCAAATTGAAAGGGCAAGCTTGAACGAGCAAGGCGATTCACAGGCAAGAATGATGCGCGAGGGATTGAGCTCAAACCTGATGGTCCACTAGCCGCTCCTTCTTGCTCCGTGTTGCTTTAAGTCACCACATGAACCCGAAATTTGGCAAATAAGCTTTCTCTAAAACGAAATGCAGCACTAAAATTCCCTCAAGCTGGCAACAGCTAGGAGCTAGGGAGCTATATTTTTCTGATTTTCATTTCAAGGCAGGGGTTTTGACATGGAAGCTCATCATCGCTCTACTGCTGCTGCAATCAATGAACAATCTAGGCAGGAGCAGATCAACAGCCTTAGCAGGTACTCTTGCTTGATCAAACGTGTCCCCACCCATGAAAGCGGATTGTCCTCCCGCTGCAATTTCATTGAGCATTTGATCATGATTTGAACATTCCTTAAACCCGATCTATGTGATTCTATGGCTGGCAAAATGGTGGAGGATTTTCAATCCTGTTGCAGTTTCATTTTCTATTTTGGAGACCTTATTTCTTCATGGATAACGAATATCCAGAAAGGTGGCGGCTACTATAATGAATCGTCATTTTTTCTTTTATCTTTCGTGAGCACTCTTTCAAGCATCCACACATTCATTGTTCGCTGAGGGAGAACAAGCTGATTAAGAGGGCATGAGCCTCAAAATGCAAACTACCTCCTAAAGAGTTGGTAGACTTGTTGTTGGCCTTGGCTCTGGTGACTGTAATGATTCTTACTTCTGCATGATTTAGGGTCTTGTATATATCATCTTAAAGAGGATTGAAAATTAAACAGAATTGCAAGAGCACTTTATTCAACATTTCATTCATTTCAAAATTTTAATAAAATTCAAAATGAATAGATTTCTTTTAAGTAAATGAAGCACTTCTCACTGCTCCTGAGCAGCTGTAACAAGGTCAAGGAAGCAGAAAGACTTCACACTCTAATCAGGTTTTGGCCATGGATTTTTACACCAAATGCGGGAGCTTAGAAAGCTTAGGATTCAGAACCCCTACATTTTCTCATGGGGAATCATGGTTTCTGCATATGGCCAACACAGGCAATCCAATGAAGCAAAGTTTGTATTTAATTTTACCATTCATTAATATTTGAAATGTTTTTATATTAAATTTAATAGCTAAATATATAGTATATATATGTAAAGAATAAGATCTCATTCTTTTCGCCAGATGGCAAGAGCATGGTAAAAGGATATAATAAAACCACTACTCAGAAACAGAACGACATAGTTAAAGATTTCTCAACTTACTAGAAATGGGGCATGCTGAAACAACATATTAAAACACTACTCAGAAATAAAGCATAGTGAAACAACATACTTACAGACTACTCAAACAGCATAGTGAAACACTATTCAGAAACAGGGCATGGTGTCATAACATAGTCAAGTTAACACCATATGGTAGAAATTTACACAAACTGAAAACGCATACCACTCAGACAGCACATACATGTGGTTTCTTTTGGCATATGCGAAGAACACACACACGTTGTGATGTTGTGATGTACCAATGTGTCTCAACTGTGTTCCTGATTTGGGCACGTAGTATTCTTAAATAGTATAAATAAACAGATTACTAACATTGTAAGATATTCTCATTTTAACTAGGATGTCCTTTTTTCCTAGGCGTCGATCTATTTGATGATCCGCACAAAGGCATAATCTATATATGGTTTTATTCTTATTTTGGCAAATCAGGAAATGACTAATTTCATTGAATTCTCCTTAGTTTTTTGTTTCTTCCAGATCATAATGATAACAAGCATCTTCTCTTTCTTTTAATTCCATTTTTCTTCAGTCCAAGAAATTTATGAGAAAGTGGATTTGAATTTCTGTTTGGGAAAGTTACAAAAGTTTACCCTATATTCTTAATTATTCAGGTTGGCTTATCTAGTCAGCAAGAGTTAATTACAAACACACCCCTCTATTTTCTACAAATTACAAAAATGCAAAATCTAAATAACAGTTAATCCACGCTCTTGCAAGTCATGTGATTATACAAATGCCCAGCGCACCACCCTCTTGTGTCTATTTGGCGAGTGTGTAAAAGATGGCAACAGATTTCCTTCTTGGGGTATAAGTGTAATGATACCCTAGAATATTCTTAAGAGTTCTGCCCTAGCCTAGGGTTTTAGTTGATCGGTAAGTCTTGATCTTCGAAATGTGTGTGCTTGATTTAGATTTCGCAGGCCGCCACAACTACTTCGTCAATTTCCACCTCTCCGAATTTCAGACCTTGGGCGGCGATGGATTTGTGACGCTCGACCCGAAGAAAGACGACATTGTGGGCTCCTTGTTCATGATCAAACTCGGCCGCAACATCAGGGACGTGCCCCAGAGCCGCTGCCTCTATGTTCGCCAGGAGTGTCTGGAGCTTTACGAGAGCGTGCTGGACGATGAAAAGGAAGGAGACGTGACTCAGAGGCTGTACATCGGGAATCCAGGCGTCGGCAAATCGGTGACGGGTCTCCAGCTTCTGTTCCTTTTTGCTGTGGTGGGCAAGCGCACAGCAGTCTACTACAAGGAGAAGCTAGCTGCGGGAGTGTACTTCCTGTTTCGTGACGGCAAGTTCGACTCTGTTCTCGATCTCCATGGGGCGAGCGAGTACTTTATGGACTCCTCTACAATGTACATCCACGACGGGAGTAGGATTCCGAACTCGGACTCCATCAATGCCCGGACCCTGCTGATCTCAAGTCCTGACGTGAAGGTATACAAAGAGTTCAGCAAGGTTTCTGGAGGCTCTGACGCTTTTTATGCTCGGCTATGGAGCAAAGAAGAGCTCATGGAGTGCTGGAGTGTTGCATACAGTAGTACGCTGGAATGGAGAACAGTTCAAAAGCACATCGACGTTGCCGGTCCTATTCCGAGGCTCGTGTTCCAGACACCAAAGAAGTTCAAGGGCGTCCAGCAGGCCATGAAGAGTAGTCTCCTGAAGACAGAAAACTTACTGTCGCTCTTCTCCCTGATAGGAAACCATGATCTGTGGAGTACGTTTTCGCACAAGCTCCTTCATTTAGACAGGGGAGGCGACTCATCTGAAGGCTGCACGAAGATTGCTTCAAACTTCGTGAAGGAGCAGTTGCTGCTCCGGCTTGAGAAAGAACACTGGTCAGAGATGATCAGTCTAAGGGGAGTCGGCGGCCTGGCAGATTTCCGGGGTACTTTGATGGAACTACTCATGCACATGACCTTTCCGAAGTACTTCGTCAGCTGTGAACGAATATGCGATCTACCGAAGCGTGGCCAGAAGCACAGACATGTGTCGAACAACGCTGCGAACGACCTGTTGCTGGCAGATGGAGTGGATGACCTGCATGTCATCTTTTATCACGACTTTGCGGACCTGCAGAAGAAGATTCAGAAGTGCCCCAAAAAAGGCTATGCAGCTGCTTATTTTTGGCCCAGGACGAAGACGGAGGCTGCCATCGACAGCCTCTACATAAACTTCAAGACCAAACGGGCGTACCCCCTCCAGGCGACTGTTTCAGAGAAACATCCAGTCGTGTGGCATCCCGTGGAGCTACTGTTGAAGCATTTGAGCAGCAACGGGATCTTCATTGTGGGACTTTTCTTCATCGTCTCGGGGACCAATTATACAACGTTCAAGCCTCAGGCGTGGAAGAGAAAACGTAAAGTCAGAGGTGCATTCGTGGACCTCAAGACATCCCCGAACTTGTGTCAGTACAAGGTGAAGTTTGAGCTACTTGGCGATGATTTACAGAAGATCCATATGCTGAGGGACTACGTGGACAGCATAGACGGCAACTACAAGGCAATCATGGTAAGAAGCCTGGTTTCTTTCGCCCTAACTGCACTGTTCCTGCTAGGAATCTACGAGGGATGTGCCTGAGGAGCATGTTCGGAAGCGCAAGCGCGATGGTGCCTCATCGTCTGATATGTAAGCTGTAGTTCACACTGCTTGATACTCTGCTGACTAGTGGTGGTCATTTTTCTTAGCACGGCTTCGATGCCAGCGGAGTCTGACTCGGAGTACGACATGGAACTGTTGGAGGGAGAAGAAGATGAGCTGTTTGACCAGGAAGCCTATGACGACGAGTAGAAGTAACTCTGGGCGAAAAAACCACTTTGAATGCTAGAAAGTGGGTCTTACAAAAGGTACTTTGTCTTACCATACTCCAAAGTACACTCCAAAGGATGCAGCTCTTCTCAATGTCTTTCACTGCCGCTCTTGAATCTTCAGAATGGTTTCCATAACCTGATGTGGAGCTTTCTGACCTGATGCATCACCCTCAACACCGTGGAATCAGTGCCACTTTCAAAGGTCTGGAGTCGTGCTAGCTTCCCTAGATGGACTTCAGGCAAAGTTGAAAAGAACAACCATATTGTCCCCTTCCCTTTTTTTGCATTCAAAGCCCTCAAAAGAATATCTTGAAAAGTGTGGACTGAGCAAGCTTAAGTATATTAACCCGGCTACCAAACTTCAGAACAAGGTTGCATTGAAAGGTTGGTCGTTGTAATCCTTGTCATGGGGGTCGCTGAAGAGTTGAAATCTTGCATATTGTGCTTGTGAGAAAAGTTTGTGAATGTAGTCAGGCTAATGTGGAGGTGTTGGTGGTCCCAAAAACCGGCCAACCGGTAAGTCTTGCAAAGGTGCTAGATAGCAGCCGCTTCATCTGCAAAATGTAATCAGTGGAATGAGGAGAAGGTCATCAACATAAAGAATTATAATGATGGTGATGGCTTGTTGACGCCAGTCTGAGATGTACACGTTGACATCTGCAACTGTATTTCCAAAGGAATGCTGCCACAGCAAATTGTTGAACCCGTACAAGGCTTTGCAAACCAGTTGCTCCTTGCCTGGCTCCAAAAATCCTCCAGCCTGACGCATGTATATCTCATCCTCGAGCTTACTATTCAAGAAGGCCCTGCCGACATCCATCTGATGGATGTCCCAGTCATGCTGTGTTGCAAGGGCTAAGAGGCTGCAAAGACTTGCCATGTGAGCAACCAGGGAAAAAGTCTATGTAGTGGATGCCAGCCACCTGCGTGAAACCCTTAGCAACCAACTGAGCCATGTAGCTGGTGGATCTGGTGCGCGGCGCCCGGCAGGAAGAGGAACAAGAGAATAGGTACCATTCTTGTGAATGGCATCAATTTCATCGTGCATCTCCACTTGCAATAATTCAGCTTCATGACTCGCTGTGGCTTCAAAAGCGGTTAGATCGCCTTCAACGCAACCACAGAGTCGGCATCAAGAACCTGGTCCAATTTGATGCTCTCAAGCATGCGTTGTGACGTGCATGGTGCAAGCAGCTCAAGAAGAAGAGGATCTGGAAGTCCGCGGTGACAGAATGCCAAGGGGCTGTGTGCTGCATCATGCATCAGGGTCCTTGGAAGATTCTGGAAGAATCTGTGAGGAGATTCCTTGGAATCTCGTCTCGGAATATTAGTGATTTAGAAAACAACGTCCTTTTTTGCATCGGCAACAAAATCTAATTTCTTGAATTTCTAAATTTATAATTATAATTTTAAATTTAGCCCAGGGACGACTACCCTTTGGTAGGGCTTCGTCACTTCCCTCCACAGTCTCCCAAGTGGAACAAGACGGAGCAGGAACCAAGTACTCTGCTGTTCTTCCATTGCCGAGAGGGAAAATTCATAATGGAGCAGCAACCACATGCTCTCATGTATAAAATTTTATTGATCTGAATATAGGCAGAAGAACAAGGTACTGGAGGTACATCACTATGTGTTACCCATCAGTGAATACTAGATACGTGAACTGCATGTGAACTGCTGCCAACACTTTTGTGTTTGGATATTGGCATATTCCATCATCTTACAGTTAATATTTTATAATTTAGGTTCAGATAAAAATCAGTCTCATTTGCTGCACAACCTAAGCCTGTTCAGTATAAGGAGTCAGCGAGGATCTCTCCGTACTTAGTGGGAAAGGAACACCAACATTCAGCAAACAAGGGTCTAACCTAGGTTACCCAGCTAGCAGGGAAGGGCATACATCCTGCAACGAACTCGGAATTTAGCACAGCTAGCAGGCGAGCAAACACCTCCTGCAGCGATCAAGGAACTAAGCCCAGCTAGCGAGTGAGGGAACACCTCCTGCAACGAACAAGTGACTTAGCCCAGAGAGCTAGCAAGGGAACAAAACAAGGGACTTAGCCTAGAACAAGTCTTGCAGCGAACCAGCCAGCTAGTGAGCGGGGGAACACATCCTGCAGCGAACAAGAAACTTAACCAGCTAGCCAGTGAGGGGATACATCCTGCAATGACTAAGGAGTTCTCCAAGTTAGTCTGATGAGACTATGTGATGTGTCAGGACTCGCAGCAGCCGGTGGCTTTCTGCCGAAGTTGTGCTGACGTGTCAGGAACGAAATTGGAGACGAAAAGTCTAAGGGTTGCCTTGGCAAAGCAAACCCTGAGTTGGGTTGGCACCGATTTCAGGAAAGTCCCGCTGACGTGTCAGGAGTCCCAGGACTCCTGCACAGCCTCCACTCCCGGGAAAAAATGTGGAAGCCCGGATCGTGTGGACCGCAGAAGAGGGGGGGGGGGGGGGTGGGGGGGGTGTGTGTGTGTGTGTGTGTGTGGTGGAGGAGGAGGAGAATTCCTTCTGAGTCGGAGAAGGAGTTAACGTCCACCCAACTGTCGGAGATGGGAGTGGAGTTGGAGATGCTTGTGAGGTTTCTCCAGCTGCTGGTCCTGCTCAGGAAGTTGCTGCCGAGCACGCTGAGGAAATCAGCTCCGGAAATAAAACCTCTGTAGGAGCGAAAGACTGGCGGAGCCGGGCAAGTCATGAGGAGTGACTCCGGCTGAGATAATTAGAGCTCCATAGGAGCGAAAGACTGGGAGTCAGGCAAGCCATGAGAAGTGGCTCTGGCAAGTGAATGCTTGGTCGCCGAGAGGCGGCCAAGGTGTCGGTGTAGCTTTTGGCAAATCTACGCCGTGAATCTGGGCGAAGTGTGTGGGAACTCTTGGTTCTCGGCTGTTGGCTCTAGCCATTAGGTGGATATAGCAACTAAGTGGTCAGATGCGCTGAGACTGGACGCCCGATACAAACCTTGTCGGGTAAGGTTCCTACTTCGAACTCGCTAGGTGGGGAGTTAATTCTGGTTGCTCAAGGTTGGGAGGTGCTGGAGCCTAAGGCCTTTGGTGGGGTGATTCCTCCATGATTTCCGCCAAAGGTCAGCACCGCGGTTAAACTGAGCTCATTCTCGTCCCAAGTATCCGAAGTTCAGGGAGTGTCTAATTTCAGCTGACTGAATGAGGCACCCATGGGCAACACCCCTTGGATCTGAACTCAGGATGGCGAAACTATGCCCGGGTACGGACACCTGACTGAGGATTTAGGCCTTGGGTGCACAAGGCTGGGGATTTACCTGGATCGTCCAAAGGGAAGCTGGAGCTCGGAGTCGCAACCGGCCCAAGGCTGCCAGAGCGGGCAGCTGTAATAAGGGTTACCAGATCTGGCACACGAGACACAGCTGGTATCAATGGGCCTCGTGGTGTCGGAGATGGTGCCCGCAATGCATCTGGTATCCGAGAAGGATACCCGTGTCACACGTAGTATCAGAGATAAGTTGGCGGCCCGATTTCCATGATACGTAGTATCGAAGACAAGGAATTTTTTTTTTTCTTTAGTTCTTTTGAGCTGGGAAATGGGGCCCCAACTCAAAAAATTATGCTGTGTGTTGCGGCTGTGAGCTATATGGAAATCCAGGTTCCTTGCTGGCTGCAAGTTGTTGTAAGCTGAGCAGTGGGAATACTTATCTGTGGAGTGAGTTTTCGAAGAGTTTTTCTTCCAGAATAGCTGGAGAACTAGTTGCTGAAATCTTTGTCAGAGTAAGAACTAGTACTACCATAGGGAGAGCTCGGAGATCCAAAGAGAAGGCACGTAAAGGCGCTGGGAGAACCAGATGACCGTAAGTGTCTGAGCTCCACAATGCACAAATTGTGGAAGCGTGAAAATGCAGGCATAATCGGTAAGGCTCGAAAAGTGTGGGTGGAGTGCAACCACCCCATGTTTGGTAAGAACTTGTCTCTATGGATGGCGTGGATATTGAGTTGTCCGAGTTCTTCGGATAACAAGGACCAGTGACTTGTGAGGGTAACTAACTAGCCGTACGCTAGTGAAAATGCAAGTCACTGGGGCAGCTGAAACTCTGCTGGGTGGTTTTCACCAGAGAGTGTATAGTCACTTGGAGAGGGCCAAGTGAAAAAGTAATTGGACTTAAGAGAAATAGCGGGGACGAAGTTCTCCTCGGAAATTACTAGCTGTTATCCATACCTGCGGAGAGTGAAAAGTACCAAAGACAAGAGTGCTTCTTGAGTGGGAGGTCTTGGACCTCCTAGGCAAGTTGTGAATGGCTGATGGGAACAGCACTTGCAAAGACATGCGAGAGCATGTTGAACCGGAGAAGCCAAGTAAGGACCTTGAAGAGGAGCTCAGGTTGTGAGCGCGCCTCTTGAGTCCCTGAAAGATTAAGTTTGTGGGTGACACACTCGGCGGAAGCCTTGTGGTCACCACTAGAGCTGGTTATGTTTCGGGTAGCAGTTACCGCATGGGGTAAGATTTCCCCACTCGCAGGACGACGAGGTGGAACTGGCTAATCTCGGAAGTCTACAACCATAAGATACGTGGAGACATCTGCTGAGTATTGGCAAAGGGCTTATCAGAGCTCAAGGCAGTACTGGGATAATTTACCAGAGATAGAGTGGCTGGAGCAGGGGTTATGTATCCTGCTCGCCGTGGTTATCGTAGGCTTGGGTGTCTGTAAAGAGCTGGACAGACTGGAATTGATCGATAAGATGAGGTTATCTGAGTGCAGATGACTGAGTTGATACTTGGTGGGAAACGGGATTATGGTCATGGACATGGTGGCTTAGAGAACTAGCTGGGGCTAGAGGCCTTAGGGTGGCGACCCTATGAGCCGAGTTACCTGAATGACTTTCCCTTAGTACTGGTAAGCATGGTAATTCCAAGTTACCGTTCTGATCTGCTGGGATCAGAGGGCTAAGTTAGATAGAGGGAGCGATAGCTTGTATTTGATAGCTCTGTCGGACGCTTAGCCGGTTTACTCAGGTGTCGATCGGTGGATGGACCCAGGATGAGGTTAGTGCTCGCTCTCTCGATAGCTCAGCTGGACAAGCGGATAATCCTTATCCAACCTTTTTCAGGTCTTTTTGTCCAGCCCTCTTACTCGATGTGATGATGGCCCTTGACTGGGTGAATCCAGCAGTGAGGCTAGATCATTTGAACTTGCGATTTCTGCAAAAAGCCGCCAGCTGCCGCGAGTCCTGACACGTCAGCATTTCGGACAATGATGAATTTAACCAAACAGAGTTTGACCCAATTCAGGGTTCAGAGACTCCTGCCACGTCAGCATCTCTCGCGATTGGGGGAGACATGTCCAGCTTGCGGACCAAGCAAGTGAGTAAATAATAAAGACGCTGGTCAAGTAAAGGCAGCTGGGGGGATGGGGAATTAGTGGGGAACTGCCATAGGTTTGCACACAGACGTGCAATTATAGGGAAACGTGGTGTGTGTTACGTATATGTGTCTAGTTGGTCTGACTGGATCAGGTGGCAGCAGTAGCTGTGACATCACCTCAAACTCCCTGGACTCCTGCCACTTGGTGGTGGGAGTCTCGGGAGTTCTCGGACTCCGGTAGTCCGTGCACTCCTGGGACTCCGGGAGTTCTCAGACTCCCGGGACTCCTGGAGTTCTCGGACTCTGGGAAGTCCGAGAAGTTCTCGGACTCCCGAGAGTCCCAGGAGTTCTCTCCAGGAGTGCTTGGACTCTCCTGGGAGTCCGGGGGTTCTGGGAGTTCTTGGACTCCCGGGAGTGCTCGGACTCTCCTGGGAGTCCGGGGGTTCCGGGAGTTCTCGGACTCCCTAGAGTACTCGGACTCTGGGTAGTCCGGGAGTTCTTGGATTCCGAGGAGTCCGGGAGTGCTCGGACTCTCTTGGGAGTCCGGGAGTTCTCGGACTCCGAGGTGTTTGGGAGTGCTTGGACTCCCGGGAGCCCGGGGAGTGGTGGGAGGCCATGCTAGATTTCCTGGCTGTTTTCCACGTACTTCTGGGGTGGGAGTGGTGGTGGGCCCCACACACCTCTGGAAGTTTGGGGGTGTATGTGCAAAGGTGGGCCACACAAAAGAAGGGTGGCTTTTTAAAAAATGGACGGTCCAGATTAAATCAATATTCTTGAACGGCCGAGATCCCTCCATAAATCAACGGACAGGAATGCGTCTTTATAAAAAATGGACGGTCGAGAGTAAATTAATATTCTTGAACGGTCCAGATCCCTCCATAAATCAACGCTCCATAAATCAATGACCAGGATCTCTCCATAAATGAACGGCTAGGAGCATTCAAGAAGAGCGAGAAGCATTTCAAATACTTTAGCAAGTTTGATCTATGGCAGCCATGCTTGTTTTGTTCATGACCATGGTCGCAGCAGCAGCGCTATGGAAAATATCTCTTCAAGACCAGGAATCCACAAAAACTTCAAGAGTGCCAGATGACCAATTCGCCTATGTCCTGTGCCTCATCGTGATCAGCCCCCTTGAAGGTTTGGATTCCGGAAGTGGGAAGCACGCGGCGTATGTTATGTGGCACGATCGACGTGGTGAGGATGGGCATCACAAACATCCCAGACAGCATTTCCGAGTTGCGAGAGTAGAATCCAGGATCTCAAGCATCTGGTGCTGTCTGAAAAAGTTGTGGCATGAAGAAAGTAGCTGCTTTTTGGAGATATTCCTGTCAGATGTAATAAAAAAGAGAGTGAGTTTCTTGGACAACTGCAAACCGAAGTTAGAAATACCAGATTGCACCGTAGCCATCCATGTCACATCCAAGAACAAGGTGAGGTGCTTGAGGAACGATTTCTAGCTTTAAAATGCTCCAGAAAGTCTTGGGGTTATATCTTGCAGGAGGGAGATCTGCTTCATACAAAGAATGCCTGAATAGGACGTGATTAATGCAAGGGAATACAAACGTGAAAAACGACTACCTCCAAGACGGATCCATGCGCCATTCTTTGATACAACCTTCATCTCCAGCAGCGACTAAAGAAAGAGCTCCTGTTATCAAAAGGCATCTCATTGCGGCAGTCGCAAAATGTTCGGCCTTCGGATCACGTTCGGCATTTGGAAGTAGCAGAGATATCATGCTGGCAAACAAGTCCGAGTTGTTTTGATTTTCTTCTGCGTTGGATCCCAGCAATGACTGCTGACTGGTGCCGATTGTTACTGGTAAAAGAAAAACATGAGATTCTCACTTCATGAGGAAGCTATTTGTACTTACGCTCTAGATTTGGTGAATTATGTTCTTCCTCTCACGTGAAGTACCTCCAGAGTATCGGCCACAATCTTAGACTCCAGCTCCTCATGTGATGTTCCTCCAGAGTATCGGGCACAATCTTCGGTTCCAGCTCTGGTTCCGAATCCGAGACATAAACATTTTCTAGACCTACTATGTCCATAAAAGTTTGTCAAAAGAAGCAAAATCGAATAAAAAACTTACAAGAATCTTCTGCACTGTGACGCTCTTGCGAGTTCCTGTCTGTTTTCTGTCGTTGAGACGACCTCACACCCTTGTCTCCTGGCCGCAGAGATAACGCTTGCTTCTTATTTCCTTCCCGAATCACTGAAGAACGAAACAAGTCTGGAGAACGAGCGCTGGGCGAACTTTGCACATTGACTTCTGTCTCATCTTTTTTCGATGAAGCAGAAACTAGTTCACGTAGGAGATACTGCACAACAGGATCCGCAAGGCCAACCATCTGCCCAGATAGAACTTTTTTTTTTTGCCGCGGAGACAACGACAAGAAAAGAACAATTGCCTCCTCGCCATTGACTCCAAGAGAACGAGTTCCTGGATGCTGAATTTTCATCATCGCTTCCCACCCGTGCTTTCAATCTCCCCGCAGCGTACCTTGAAAGTTTCCATCAAGAAACGCGCAAGAAAAACCGAAAAGAAAAAAACTCACCGCAAACAAAGGCCCCAGCTTATCCTCTCGGATTGCCATCGCGTATGCCTCGCCTCCCTTCCTCGCAGAGCTCTGCATCCCACAGGAAAAGGGTACATTCTTCCCAAAATCAACAAAACAGCAGCTACATTCCAGAGAAAACCGTCACCCGAGAGCTACCTCTTCTCCCACGGGCCATGGAAAAGCGATCCAAGGGCCTCGATCTCCACCGCAGCCTAGAACCCTAACCCCGACCACAAAAATTCCCGCACGTTGGCGATGAGCACGTAAGTCGCAGCGTCGCCGGGATCCAACCCGGTCCGCGCGGATCACCTCCTCGTGTGCGTCACCCATGGGGCTCCAGCGGCATACTGCGGAGCAGCGCCTCCCCACACCGCCCGAGCAGCTCCACCACAAACCGGTAGTGCTCGCGGCTCAGCCACCCCGCGTAGAACATCCCCCGCTCGAGCAGTGGAGCTCCATTCGGGGAGATCCCCTCCAACCACCGCATTCTAGATCCCTCTCGCGGTTCTTCTCGAACAGCATCCAGGCTCCCACACTTGGCGTGCAAGCTCGCGAGTGCGGACTCACCGCTGGAGTGGCGATTCCTAGCTCGGGTGTGGCCTTCCTCAAAATCCGCGAGAGCCGACAGTGCTGCGAGGGTCTGGGCGAGAGTTCATCTAGTGATGGCATCTTTGGTTTTGAATTTTTCTCTCTTTATATACTGAATTTTATGGTGGAAGGCAACACAATAAACATTTTTCTGGAAGTTCAACAAAACTTTATCAACCCTCTTGCTTTTTTTTTTTTTTTTTTTAATTCTTTGTATACTGCACAGACTTCTTTAGTATTGTTGTTAATTATTCTAGAAAATTTGAAAGAAAACGATATGGTTACTAAATTGTTTGCTTTCAAGCCCTAGGGAAGTCCTTTACCCTAACATGCCTTAATATACCCTTGAGCCTTCCTTTAACCGACGTTGACCATGTAGTCAAAGCTGGCGCCTTTCACAACTATCCCATTAAAATTTTTTTCATGATCAAGTCCCTACCGATGCCAGAAAATTTCTCTTTACTCCACAATGCCTCCTCTTATGTGGCATTGCTATTAAGATCTCCCCACTACCACAATGCTTGACTGTCTAGGGATGTGCAAGCACAGCATCTAGACTCACCCTCTTGCTCTGCTCCACAACTAGCATTCCCTGGATGAGATCCTTTGCTTCACATGACGCAAAACCAATCAGGAATGCTCTGGCTCTCAGAAAATCAAATTCGACTCTCGATTGATACCCTCTCAGCAGCTCATAAGCAATGACTCCCAGCCCCCACACATCCATGGCTGCCGTGTAGCTTGCTCCATCACTCTTCACCGCTACCACCTCGGGTGCCATGTACTTCGCTGTTCCACAATACTGCTGCATATCCCATTGTTTGTCTGTGGCCATGCCAAAATCTCCAATCATCACTTCGTCCACTGCACTAGCGTTGAGCCTCTCAAAGATGTTGTAAGGTTTGAGGTCGCTATGGACGACCCCTCTTGAGTGCATCTCACTTGAGTGTCTTTGCTAGTGACTTAATAGTCTTAACTACTTCTTCCTCAATCAATGCCCCACCTTGGATCAATCACTCTGCCAAGCTAGGGCCACAAAGTTCCATAACAATGGTCCCATAGCACCCTGGCCTCTCTCTCCCTCACGAAATCCTCAAAGGCAACGACTCCAGGGCAGACACAAAAGCTTGGACATGAGCCAAGCTTCGTTCTCGGCATTCCACATCGATTTCACTAATTTCCCTGCATACTTCATGCCAGCCCTGCAATGAGAACTTAACAAATAGACCTGCCCTTTGCCGCCAGATCCCAGCTTCTCACCCCACCTGTACAGCTTGAGGAGCTCACCACAGTCTCGCCAATTTTTTGACCTAGCTTCTCGCTAACGGGTACAAATCGACGGCTGGAATCGCGTTTGATCGACGGTGACGATCTTGTGAAAGACTAGCCTGAATTTATTTCAGGATATTCGTTATTTGAATCTGGATAGCCATGCTTCTCTACAAAATTGTATTACACGCTCTGATGTGCCCTGCTGAATCAATCGCCCTCAAAGCACCACCAGCACGATCAGAGCGTTCACAAGGGACCAGCAGGATCAGAGAGTTCACCATGTCTCCAATCGAAGGCCTGTAGCTTGGCTCCAACTAGACGCATAGAACAGCAACAGCAGCGACCTACACACGGATCTTGCATTAAAATCATCAAGTCAGCCAGCACTGGCAACAAACAAACCAAAACCGAAAGAAGAAGAAGAGGAAGAGGAAGGGCACTTACTTGGAAGAGTTGCTTCATGCTCAAGAGGACGCCACAACTGAGCGACTGCACCAGGTTACCCTCATTGTTGCGATCAAGGATACTGTCAACTTGTCAATGATGGTATGCAAACGATACGAGCCCAGCAGCAACGACAAAATATTTGAAGAGCGTCCACCACGAATAACCCGCTTTTCTGCCTTCCAAGCAGCCTTGCAATCCCTGGAGCACACACATTCTCACGTTTAACTTGTCAAGGAAATCAAAGCTTCTTGCAAGAGCAAACCTTGACACCGTCACGAAGAACACCGATGATAATCGCAGCCGAGCACTGCAGCACCCTGAGTTCCCGGTTGTTTGTCTCAGTCAATTCGGCGTTCTCATCTCTGGTATCCACCAGCATCGCCACTCCTCTGGTCTCCTCTTCGTTGGTTGTGGGTGACATCCTGCCGATGTCACTTCGTGGTCGGACAGCGTTCCTTATTGGTGGTGGAGGTTCCTCTTGACGCTGTGCAGACACCAGGGCTCTGGTGCTGCTAGTGGTGCTGGTTTTGCTGTGATTCTTGGCGTTTTGTTCCTTGTTTGTCGTCTCTGTGCCTCTGCCTGGTGTCTGCTCTGCCATCTTTCCCGTTTTCTGCTGCAGCGGTCCCTTGCTGTTCCAAACTCGAGGGCCTTGCGAATTCCTTTGCCTTCAAACTAACGGAAGGAAATCCCCACCTAGCTTTCCTGTCTTCGTGCTTCACTTGTTTCGTGCCATCTGGAGTCAAGAGCTTGGAGCGCCCGGCAGTGGCTCCTCACACTGAGCTCTTGCCTTCGTCGTGAAAAACACATGCCAGTAAATTCCGCGGCCAACAAGAAAGAAACAAAGAGTTACCTGGCTTTCTGGAGGAGTTCCCAATCCACTGGTCCTGTAGTCATGTTGAAAGCTCCTGGATAGCAGATCATCACCAACATGAATTTTAATACTCAGCAGCTACATGTCGTGCTGCGTAAGTCATTGCCATCTAGCAAATACGAACACTGATTCGTCCAACATCTGTGTCAGTGAGCAATGTGAGTTATTTTGCTTGTCGTAATGCCTGCAGGACCTTACCCGAATCAACAACAGTATACTTATGTCCAGGCGCCAGTGTCCGATTCTTTGAACTGTATCTTTCCTAGTATATCGATGTCAAAAAAGTGAACCTGGTGTGAAAGAGGGCTGAGAAAAAACCATAGACGACACATCAGAAAAGCAAACCTTCCTATGTTTACCTTTTAGACAGCCATCTTTTCTATAGATGCAGCAAGTATTGTAGAGATGTCGTTCTGGTATGGAGCCACAGATGATGGCAACCTCCTTACTCTTTGCCATGTCCGAAAGCATTTTGGAAGAGGGCTACATAGATTGGAAAGCTTACGTTTGAGTATGGAAAATTCCCCATTTCCTGTAACACATTCCCCTTATGACTGAACAAACAACCATACTTACTGGAAAATACATTTGATTTGTAAAAACCATATTTGCAAACGGGCATTCGCATACAGGTTTGCGTTCCATTTGCAGAGGGTTGCCAAGTTAAATGAATATTACAAGTTAAACCAGAATCTTTTACAATCTTTTATGTTTCTTTCTGTGGGTGGGAGGCAATTGTTGGTGCAATGGCTTGCTGAGCCACCTCTTCTGATCGTCTAGGGAAAAGACGAAACCCCTTGGAAGGCAGTTGGCATGAAGTATGCAGGGAAATTAGTGAAATCGATGTGGAATGCCGAGAACGAAGCTTGGCTCATGTCCAAGCTTTTGTGTCTGCCCTGGAGTCGTCGACAAGCAGTTGGATGTCTTATTTATCTAGCCATCAGTACCAGACCAGACTTGGGATTTGCAGTTGGAGCAGTCTCAAGATTTCTTGAGAATCCAGGAGAAGTTCATTGGAGCGCTGTTAAACGAATTTTCAGGTATTTGCGAGGAACAGCAGGATATCGACTGAGCTACAGCAGCAGTAGCAGCGTGTCTAGCAGCAGTGGGAGCTCCAGGAGTATGCAACTTGTCCGCTTTACAGACTCAGATTTGGCTGGCGACAAGGATACAAGAAGATCAACTTCAGGATATCTTTTCTTCCTGGAAGGTGGACTTGTCAGCTGGAGCAGCAAGCGACAAGCAATCACAGCACTTTCATCCACCGAGGCTGAATATATTGGTGCAACAACAGCAGCTCAAGAAGCGAGGTGGCTTGCAGATTTTCTGGAGCAGATTGGTGTTCCAGTGCAGCAGCCAGTGACTTTGTTTTGTGACAATCGAAGCGCGATCGAGTTGTTGAAAAATCCGAAGTTCCATGGCCACACCAAACACTTCGAGATAAAGGTACATTTTATTCAAGAGCAGGTTCTAGCGAACAGAGTGCAGCTGAGCTATGTTTCGACGAAGCAGATGACAGCAGACATTATGACAAAAGCTTTGAGCAAAGACAAGTTTCAACAACGTATGAGCGTTATAGACTATCACGGCTGAGTGGGAGTGTAGATAACCAGCCTGGAGTCTAATCCAAGGTGGCAAGAGATTTATGTGGATGCTGAAATGAGCGGACACAAGACTTGTATATATTTACATGGAGAAAATGAAAAAGTAGTACGTTAGGGGAAACAGAGTATGTCGTTTAACTAGAAAACTATCATCTTTTACAATCTTTTACGTTTCTTTCTGTGGGTGGGAGGCAGTTGTTGGTGCAATGGCCTGCTGAGCCACCTCTTCTGATCGTCTAGGGAAAAGACAAAACCCCTTGTGGGATTGATTCATTATTTGCAGTGTAGCTTACGAACAAGGCCACGGGCAAGGCCTTTGGACCTGCAAGTTCTACAATGAGTTGAAATCTAGTTCATTGGAGAGATTGATTGTGCATGTAGGGAGGGTACTGGGGGAAGAGATTAAGGTTTGCTGCAATCAAGTGCCCTTGAATGTGCTCAATGAGATGTGAATGAAGTTCTTCAGTGATTATCATCACTGTGAACCACCACAAAAAGATGATCTTGTTGTCTGCACTGCAAATGCTTAGTATGTGAACATCAACGGCGAAATTTTCAAGACTCCTTTCTAGAGATCAGCTTCTACTACCTGCCCACCGATTGTGAGTCATGGAACATTTTCATTTCTACTGGGTAGTAATGCTCCAAGTCAACAATCCTTGGCTGTGACAATGGATTTTGCTGCTTCGAATGATAATAATGCAGCAAATGCCTAGACAGGGCAAGCATTCTCTGGAGGACTTTCTGGCAGGCAACAACGGAGCAACATGTGAGGTCTTATGAATTTTAGTGGGGGGGACACAGCTGGGCCTAGGCATAGCTGCTGGCAGACAACAAAGTCTACATACAACATGGCAAAATCGGAGCTACATTGATGTAGATGTTGCTGTTCGTAGGTTCATTTATGAAACTACACAAACCTTCAATGTTGTGAATAGCTTGTACTGGAAAGAGATGCTCAGCACTGTAGGGAAAGCTGATCCAGACTACTTCTCGGTGTATGTAAAGTATGAAGCAATCCAGGTGAAATATTTGAATGAGTATGAAAGCTTGAACTCAAGGCTAGATGTTGTGTGTGAAGGTTGGAAGCAATTTGGCTGCATGATTGTTATTAATAGCTGGCAATGCTCAAGAAAACAAAGCATTGTGAATGTGATGGTGGTGAGCATTAATGGATCAGTCTCATGGAGGTTGGAGTATGTGGTTCAAATGATCACTAATAATGGCTCTAACTTTGTTTGCATGGGGGATTTCATGGAGGAGGAGTTTCTAAAGATTGTTCATGGCAAATGTGTTTGCCACTGCTTGAGCCTCCTTTTGAAGGATATCACTAACCTTGATTGGGTTCAACTTTGTGTGAGTGGTTGTGAGAAGATTGTCAGTTTTATGTTGAAGAAGCCAAGCCTAGTTATAACTGTAGCACACTCTATCTTTCTCCCCTTAAATCAATTGAAAAAAGGGCAATTGCTTGATGAGAGAGCCCTTAGTAGCTATTTTATCCCCATTTATCCCCAAGGTTCCAAAGATTCACAGTGACAGTATATCCAAATCTCATCTCATGATCACATGCGCTACACTCACCCCCCCTTGAGAGATGTCAATGTCTTCATTGACTATTGATTAACAGCCTCTACTAAGCCAAGGGGAACCAACACCTCCATTTCTGCACTGAATTTATCAATCCTTCTATTGTGTAGATTAGCTATTCTATATGAGGCAACTAGTCATCCACCCATATTGCAGTCCCACAATGGATACTTTCGTTTGTGGATACTCCACACAAGAGGAAGAACATATGCATGGATGCCTAATATGTACGATTTCAAATTTAGCGTACCCATGCCATTTGCTCTAATACTATATGTAGCACACTTTATCTCTCTCCCCTTAAGCGGGCAATTGCTTGATAAAAGAGCTTTTAGTGGCTATTTTATCCCCATTTATCCCCCAAGGTTCCAAGGATCCATGGTGACAGTATATCCAAATCTCATCCCATGATCACATGTGCTACAATAGCATTCCAGAAAATCACCCCTCAAGAATTCATCAAACCAGTATCAATTAAATTTGTATACAACTTCATAGTGATGAGCTCCTTGACTAAACTGGATATGCTCAAAGCTTTGCAACAGTTTGTATTATCAGATGTATGGTACCAAAACTGGGATAAGTTGAGTGAAGCTTCAGTAGTGAAAGTCCTGATTCAGAATGGCAGTTTTTGGCATTGTTGTGTTGAGGTTTTGTTGGTGATCGAACCAATTTTGAAGGTTCTGAAGTTGGTGGATCGAGAAGGAGCAACCTCAGGGCTTCTATTTGAGGAGATGGATCGAGCTGAAGAGGCTCTTCAAGTTTTGGTTGTGAACAAGATGGTTGCTAAAAAAAGGATTAATGCCATCAAGCATTTCGTCTTTGAGTTGAGATTTCATGCTTCAATGTGTGATTCTCTCTTCAACAACCA